AGAGTACGCCCATCGGGCGAGAAGGCCACTGACCTGACCGAACCTGAATGGCCCTCGAGGGTCTGTAAGATTGGGCTCCAAGAATTCTCTAAAACCGGTAGACTTTTTATTTGTCTTACTACTTCGCTAGAAAAAGTCTTTTTCACAATACTTTGGGCAGGTGCGAAGACCAGTCCGGAGCTGTAGAGTTGAAGTGGAGCAATACCAGCTATATAAGTATTTTGAAGCGCAAATCTTTTTGCATCATAGAGAAAGTCTGAAATTTCAGCACCAATGCTTGTCTATAATATATATTAGCCAATATTTAACTATAGATAGGACTTGAAAAAAACTTACCCATATACTTGATTTCAGTATATCTATCATTTCCATTGTTTCGGATATACTTCCGATCAAAGCCAGTGCCTCTAACCAGTGAAGGAAACGCTTCCTTAGAAAGGAAAGAATTTCAGACTCGGATATACGACCTTGGCTTTGCTTTAGATGATATACCCAATAGCGGCAGCTGTATTGAAGTTCAGCTGTGAGATGCTGATTGATAACCTGAGGGTCGATATCCTTGTGCTGAGTTCCGTAACTTGCTAGGCCACAAATATTATGTTCAAGTCGAGTTTCCATAACCCGGAGGCAATGTGATGCTATTTTTCTATGCGTCTCTTTCTCGTCAACATGAAATTTACCTTCTGTGCTAACCAAGAAATCTCGAAACGATAGATGTAAAATGCGGACCGGTGCTTCGAGATCCTCCGGTACATTCAAGACTGCGTGAAATCTATTTAATCGATTGCTGATATCATCCGTCGATATCGAAGTCAGCTGCCCAAGAGCCACCACTGAAAGAGGAGTAGCGAGAAGAATAATCACTCCGATAATATTTTGAAACTCTTGCAAGAGTTGCCTGGAATCTCTTTTATTCTTAGAAGCAAGGAGCTGATTCAATACCGGTATATATGTTCTATCCATGTCAGATGTTGCTGTTGCTGTTTCATCTTGGAGAACGGCTGCAAGACGCTTTTCTGGAAGCCAGTCTCTATCTCCAACAAAGCGGCAAAGGGTGGCTGCAAAAATGAATAATGGAACAGCC